CAGGGAGGGCCCATGACCTCACTTTTATCCTCAAACATAAGAGATCCTTCTGGCTGAAGTAGACCAGAAACACAATGATTCTGATGACAGTTCACAAATTCTCCTCTATTTATGAGTCTAGTTAAAGCAGAAGGGGTCTCTGGCTGGGTAATGTGATAGCTATACTGTTCTGAGTCATTGTCAGGGGAGCAATGTTGCTTGCATTGTTCTTGTACTGCATTCAGTCACGTGATTTCTGGTTTTTCTTATTGTAATCCATTTTAATCAAATAGGGATTCGTGAAGAATTGACATGAGCATTAAGTTGATGAAGCGTTAAAATTCAGTCTTTTCAGGACAATGTTTTTCTGGGATAGGTGGTCCGTTGTTCTTTGACTTGTTCTAATTAGAAAACCTGAGTGTGGAGGGAACAGAAAGGGAATGGAAGTTAACTGCAGATCCATCTACAAAAACACTGCCTCTTCTGAGAGCATCTGGTTAAGAAATTTGCCACTTGCATGAACTGATCATTGCTTCTGGTAAAGAGTGTGGCATCTTCACACTGTGGCGTCTTCACACCACTTACTGCACAGCCCACTAGTCTTCTGAGATTTGCCTTTCTCTGAAAAGGCATTCAGGACTGCAGTATTTAACCAGAATTCCTCAGAGAAATAGCTGACTGCAGGTCGGAGCAAAAATTACACAAAATTAGCATAGAACACCCTATCATTACAGAAGCAAGAAAATTGTCAAAGACTACCAGGATTATGTCAAAAGTATGAGCTGACTCTTTAAATCCTAAAGTTCATATAAAAAAAGTTCTATGGGTCACTTTGGAAGGGTACTAAGGAACAAACTCATTATTTAGAAAACTGGTAAGTAAATCGAGTGAGATAAGTATATATCCTACCTTTCTTACACAAACTTTAGACTCTGGTAACCCATCTTTTGAAAAAAGTTGAAACTTTTCAACATCGAATAAGTAAAGAAGGAATAACAGATAAAAAAAATGTTGTTGTTGCTTTTTTACTCCCAGTAAAATAGTGGAGCTTGGTGGTGATCATAAAGGGCTGCTGACATTTTTTTTAAAAAAAGTGAGAGGTAGATGTTATATGCCTCATGTGGAATATTCAATATTGCTGTGAAGTATTCTTGAAAAAAAAATCTAACACAAAAGATTTAGTCTCTAGTATAATTACTAACTTATCGGAATTACAGAAGACCAAGCAGCAAGTCTAATGACACATCAAGATAAAAATCAACAAGTTCCAAATTGTGGAAAACTCTACAGAACATGTGGCCTAGCTTCTTAAACAACAATAGAAAAGAGCAAGTAGAAGAGAAGGTTATCTAAAGGAAAGTTAAGTGATATATGAACCAATTGTAATGTTTCATCTTTCAAACATACCATGTATAAAATAAATTAAAATTATATTGAAAAAATTGAACACTGGTTGGATACTTAATATTAAGAAATAAGGAAGTCTTATAATGCACTTATGATTATACTATTAAAGATTTTTAGCTTTTAAAGATACTGATTTTTTTTAATATTTATTTTATTTATGCATATAAAAACTGGGGAATAGGCCAGAGGTGAGGAGTTGGAGGAGTGGTGAGAGGATTCACCAGAGACAGGGTGGTGAGCAGTACAGGCAGATTGACTGAAATACACTGCTGAGGGGAGCAGCGGGCAGGACAGGAGAGTCTGCTGAGCCATATAGGTCACCTCCAGGGCCAGGTATCAAACTCATGGTGCAGTGGCTGTAGAAAGCTTCACAGTGCTGAGACTTAACCCTTGCCCAGATAATGAAATATTCATGGATAAAATAATATCTTTTTACTTGGAAAAAAATCAGAAGGGAAGGGGTAAATCACATAGATCAGATAATGGCAAACTATGGTCCAAGTCCAGCCCATCATCTGTTTAGGTTAATAAGGTTTTATTGGAACACAATTGCACTCCTTCATTTACATGTGGTCTGTAATTTATTTTTCTCTATGATGGTCGAGTTAAGTAATTACATAGAGACTTGTAGGATTCACAATGCCTAAAATGCTTTTTGGCCTTATAGAAGAAAAGGTTTCTGGTCCTGGAAAAGCTGAACTGAGATTCAATAATTATTAAAGTTGGATAATGGGTACATTGCAATTCGAGCATTGTTTCCTTTGTGTTTGAAATATCTCATAATAAAAAGTTTTAAAGTTTTTCATTTGTTGTTATTTTAAGTATTGATAGTTTTAAGAAAGGGCTTTGACTTGGTCTTTAACATTGTCCCTGAAAATAGAATATCCTGGTTCCATCTCAAGCAAGGTTCATCCTCCAAAACACTCAGCTTCTAAAGATACTTTCAAGCCTGTGTGTTTGATGGTAGGAATGGCTGTGCACTCAGATAACCACCTCCAAGGTTAGCAAGACCATGACTTTCCTCATTCAGCTGCAAGATGACATTCAGAGGATTGTTCTCAGAAAGAACCTAGATTGCCTTGGCTTCCTCATTGTCATTGAAGAGTCTAGGACATCAAGAAAGAAGCTTCTTATGCACAAGATGTTAGACATGGTTATCTCTCCAATAATTTCTCCATTCCATGGAAGCATGAGTTTTCCTGCACACGTCTTGAGTTTTTTTTTTTTTTTTGAGTTTGAATTTGAGTTGAAGGATAAAGATAATAAAATATTTATTGAATAGCTTCAAATTCTGGCACTGTGCTAAGCTTTGACTCTCTAATTTTCAACAACTAAAAAAAAATTTGCATTGATTCTGTCTTATGTCTTTCCTCCTTGTTTGGAAACACTAAGGAATAGTTTAGTAAATTTTAACTTCAATAAAGGATTTGACGTAATACATGTGAAAATGAAATACTACTTGTGTGAAATAGTATTCAGGATATTCCATGTAATTTTTGAGCTTGGTGTAAGGAAGAATAAGTATTCCTTTTGAAGTATGAAACAGTTTAGTCCTGATTTAATAAAGTAGTTAGTGTTGTAACTGGGTGGTCCCTAGGAGAAGGGAAGTTCCAGGTTCCCTGCCCCACCCAGAAGGAGGGTGGAACTGAGCAGAGAAAAAGGAGAGAGAAGAGAGAAGAAAGGCAGATGGAGAAGGAGACCTAAGGAAGCCACATGGAGCAGCAAACATGTGATGAAGAAACCGTGCTTGTTTCCTGACCCTGGACTGGTTAAGGCAGATGTGGGTGAGATACCTGTAGGGAGGTGACTATGGCAGTGTTTATATTGATTTTGCTTTTGCTCTTTTCCTCTCAGATTTGTCTGGCCTTTTCTGACCCTTTTCCATGGGTCCCGGCCAGAAGGTGCTTTAGTCTTGTGGCAGGCTTTCAGGCCTTGCTTTGGGCCAATCCCTTTTGGGTTGACTTTTGCCCACGAGGGGATGGGTAACTTGTTTGATTTAGAAGTTACATTCTTTGTATTCCATATTGTATATTCACTATATTAAAGTCACTTTTCATTAAAGCTTTATATGTTTTGTCTTGTTGCGGCGGATGGCAGAACCCACTTAGAGCAGGCAGGTTTTGGGACTTCAGGGGTGCCTCTCTCTGAATTGAGGTGCCCTATAACAGTGTGTTACCAAATGTGCATATGGAGCTGCCTCACAGCTTCTTAGACCTAGTTGCTTGTCTGCGTTGCTTGTCTGTAATTAGGATAATAATACTATGTGTCCAGATACATGACTCAGAATATCTTGAGATTCAAATGGAGAAGAGAATATGAAAAGTGCATTGTAAGTGCTCAATTTTTGCAGAAGTGGCTCATTATCATAGAACCATAGCACTGTGTATCTGTTTCCAGGATTGTTTTGGGCTTTGCCCCTAGTTTGGGGACTGGTAAGAGGAAGGAAAAGCTACCAGACCGGCAATGCCAACACAATAAACCACCTGGTCTATATACAACTGCATTACAGAATTAGCTTCTCATGATTCTTCAAACTGCCAGCTCAAATCTGATTTACTTACATAAGTTAATTTTAAAAGAGGTCCTCTCTTTCTTTATATTAATAGACCTTGAGCAATTCGAGACAAAAGTGATTTACAACTGGAACCTTGGAAGCTCAGATGGGGGAGGAATGTTTAGCAAATACTCAGGAGTCTCCTGCCCCCCCATAGCAGAATGGGGAAGGGGAGGTTGTTCAGAAAGGGTTGGGGCAGAGCCCTGACCCTCCCTGTGGCTCTCCCACTCTCCTCCTAGTAGTGGGATGCTTCCTGGATTTATTTAAGTCTTCTAGCTCATTCTCTGTTGCTGTATAAACAGGGCTAAGCAGATTATGTGGAAAGCCACTGAAACTGGAGGAAGCTAGTCATGAAAACACTGACTATCAGCTGATAGATCATTTCCTGATAACTCCCTTCACTGCTAACACTTTTTCCACACCAGTGCCTGTCTTCAGGGCTGACTAAGACACAGAGCTGTTTCAATCATGCTCGAGGGTGCTGAGCTATACTTTAACGTGGACCATGGCTACCTGGAAGGCCTCGCACGAGGGTGCAAAGCCAGTCTCCTGACCCAGCAGGACTACATCAACCTGGTCCAATGTGAGACCTTAGAAGGTAAGTGTTACTTTTGTCACTGTTGAAAAAAAGAAACTGGTGGTCTCCCCTGGGAGCATGGGCATGGAACTGTGTTCTCCTGATGTGAGAATCAGAGCAGATTCTGCTCTGGGTCCAAATTCCAGGAGTTTAATGGACTTGGATGAGAAAAAAATGATCTCTATTTTCAACATACTGTAAGTGAAATTAACATTTCCTTTTATGATGAATGTGGCAACAAATCACAGTGGTTACTACTTTACTACCAAAAGAAATATGGTATCTTTCTTCCCCTCTATAGTTCTTGCAGAGACCTTGAAATGTTTATGCTTTCACTATTACATAATTACACTATTGACTTACTCTTTAATCTGGATAGTTAATGTTTTAATAAAGAAGTATACACATTTTAAACATATCTTTACAGTTATAGTATATTTCATTTCCTTTGTAATTCTGTGTTTTAATTATTCATGTTTGAAAATGTTATTTGGAATCTTATTTTGAAATGTTATTTTCCAAATAACATTTTCTATATATTAGAGGCAGAGGTCTAGAGAATTTTATTCTAGCTCCAGTTTCTCAGTATCTACTGTTTTAGGGTTTTTTGTTTGTTTGTTTTGTTTTTGTCTTTAGCTGAAACTTAAGCAAAAAAATCAAGTGATGAGCATGTGATGGGGCCAGGCTTGGCTTTCATGTGCTGACTTTGACCTTTACAGGTCCAGGTATGTGACATGGGGTTCAAAGTCTAATAGTTTCAGATCCTCTTTTGAAAAAAGTGATGGTAATGACTGCTTTGCCCAGTTGTCTGGAGAAACATTTGAGAGAATATGTTCAGGACTATGGGGCAAGTAGAAATTATCTTTTTTAAAATTCCCTTTATTGAGGTATGATTGACATAAAACTGTACATGTTTAATGTGTACAACTTGATGAAAGTATAGATAATCATAGACCCATGAAACTATTTTAACAATCTATGCCATAAACCTATCCACCATCTCAAAGTTTCCTCTGTAATCTTATTATTTGTGTGTGTGTGAGTGTGAGAGAGAGAAAGAGAAACTTAACCTGAGATCTACCTTCCTAGCAAATTGCTAAGCATTGAGTACAATGCAGTATTGGTATTTATAGTCTTTGTGTTGTACAGTAGATCTCTGGGACATATTCATCTTTACAAGTTTGTATCCTTTGACAAATATCTTCCTGTTTCCCCCTCCTTGGATATTGTTTTTAAACCACATGTTTTCAAAACTTTACCAAAGATTTCACATCTTAAATAGTGTTTTTCTTATTAAAAGTTACACTCATTCATTTTGAGATGTACTTATATTATATGTCAATAGTAAGGCGCTTCAAAACTTCCATATTCTAAAAAACAAACAAAACAAAACAAAGCTTCCACATTCTAGAAAAAAAGCAAGAAAGCAATAGGAAGCAAGACCACTAGGAAGAGAAATCAGAAGGCAAAACAACAAAGCAAAAAGAACCTTCTGAAGGTGACTGCAGGCTTCTCAGGCACTGCTGACAGGTCCTGAGATCACCTGTTTTGGGTTTTGACCTGTTAAAGCCGGAGTGAAGGTAAAACTGCCCAAGTGCATACAGTATCCTTTCACTACACTGGAAACAGCTACAGAAATCTTTCAGAATATAACTGATTGTGTTGGTTACAAATAATTACAATGTGACCCCAAATTCTAAATCACTTAAGCATATTAAACTCTAAGTTTGGTGACTGGAGAATGCTAATTACATGTAGAAAATTTGCATAAATTGAGGAAGAAAAAATTAACATTGGGCAGAATAGTGTGTCAGAGAGAAGCCAACTGAATGAATTCTATTTTGTTTTCAGTCAAGCTTTGAAATGGGCTAAGGAATGTGAATTTAAACACAAACCACACAATGTGCCTTTGGAGATAGAAATCAAGGTTTAACCAGCTCGCTGCAGAATTCAGAGAGAAACCAAGAGCAACCACTCAACATCATAAAAAAGAACCCTAGAAAATAAAGTTGAAAAATATAAAAATCAGTAATCTAAATATTACTCCTAAATATTTTCTGACAACTGCCTTTTGACCAAAAGATTCAACAGAGGAAGAGGGGGAAAGAAGAGAAGGAAATGAAGACAGTTAAGAAACGCTACACTACACACCATTGGTTTTTTTATTTATTCATACAGAACTGGGGTACAGGCTAGAGGTGCAGGGGCAATGAGAGGCTTCACCAGAGACAGAGCGGGGAGCAGAACAGGTAGATCGACTATGTGCACTGCTAAGGGGAGCAGCGGGCAGGTCAGGAGAGGTCTGCCAGGCCATGTGGGTCACCTCCCACATGCGATGGATCAATCAATCCAACTCGTGGTAAAGTGACTCCAGCGAGCTTCATGGTGCTACACTTTAATCCATTGCGCCACCAGGGAGGACCCACCATTGCTTTATTGTCATTGTATCTTGTGGCTTCTTTTCCTCCTCCCAACAACACATATGTTTTTGAATCATTTATTTCACAACTATGTTTGAATCTGTGTGTCAATTTACTGTTTAGAGACTACCAGGAATATGAAGTATGAGTCATCAAATTATGGATTATAATGGCTGCTGAGCAAATGTCTGCAGATAAGGATCTCATGTCCTCAGTTAACAATTGAGGACACTGACTGAGGCTGAGGTTGACTGGAAATAGCCTGACAGACTGTTAGCAATGGAGGATAGAGATACCTGATTTCTTTTCCACTAAAATAACTCTGCTCACTGAATTGAATATACATGAATAGGTCCCTGCTGATGTCAGTTTCATTTTGATATATAATATAATAAGGTTTGCCTTACTTGATTTTTCCTAAGATACTAAGACATGTAACTGTTGGATCTGTAGATGCACTGAGAAGACTTATAAGCTGGTTTAAGAGTTGAAGAGAAAAAAATCATAGGTATTCGTTCAGATAGAATTTAAGGATTTTGGAATTTCTGCTTAACTTTGCACTTACTATAAAACATACAGATTAAGCATGATGAATAGGTAATACAATGCTATTATCGCATTATAATGTGTGGAAGCACGAAATTTGCAAGTGAAAAGCTAACCTGGCCAAAATTAAATCTGCTTTTGTTTTAAATATAAAGTGTCCCAATATCAACAAATTGTTTCAGAGCCACTTACAAGAAATACATAAGGTTTTGATAAATTTGGAAGAGAGAAATGAAGATTATCCAGAAAAATTTGGAAATTACTAGTGTTTATAATTATGATTAATTGTGTGCATAATGTGTTATTGTGGTCAGAAATAGTCATCTATTCTCAGGTCTGCCCATGACTGAATATGACTCTGAATCAGTATCTTTGACCCTCCGTGACTCAGTCCTTCCCAGGAACAGAAGTGGGAAGCTAGTTTACAGTCTGTGCCACTGGTACTGGCCGCCTGAAAGCTGTATTCCCATTGACATCTTCAAGTCTTTAAAGTGACTTTAAGGATGAAACTTGAGGTGATAATGCTAACTGAAATAAATCAAAAAGTAAGGACATATATCAGATGGTTTTAGTTCATTTGTGTATTATAAATAACTCTCTGTCTACACACACACACTGGCAAAGCACAGCAAAAGCACTTCTTACAGTCTGAAAATATACTGGTTACCAGAAGGAACTAGGGGAAGGGGAGAGGGGAAGTGCTAAGGAGGCTTTCATTAGTCTGGAAGATTTGGAGCGTGCATGGAGCATGTACACAGACGAAGGAGTAAAACTATAACCCCAGCCCTCCCTGGTGGCACAGCGGGTTAGGATGCAGCACTGCAAGCTGGCTGCAGCCACTCCAGTGTGAGTCTGATCCCCAGACCTGGAAACCTGGACCTACATTTTGCGGCAGATCTCTCCTGTCTCACCCACTGCTCCCCTCAGCAGTGTACTTTGTTGCCTGTTCTGCTCCCCACTCTGCCTCTGGTGAATCCTCTCATTGCCCCTGCACCTGTATGCATAAATAAATAAATATTTTAAAAGGCCAGAAATGCAGGAGGTGAGGGAATTCACCAGAGACTGAGTGGGGAGCAGAAAAGGCGGATCTACTGAAATACACTGCTGAGGGGAGCAGCAGGTGAGACAGGTGAGATCTGCTGTGCCGTGTGGGTCAGCTTCCTGGCCAGGGATGGAACGGTGCTGCAGTAGCTGTGGACAGCTTCACAGTGCTTGCTATGCTTAACACTGTATGCCACCAGGGAGGCCCCAGATCTTTTTTCTTTTTTTTAATTACAAATAAGGCTGCTATAGTTATTCTTTCCTCTTCAAAAAAGAAAAGTGGTAAAATCAATGCTTTAAAACTTTAGAACGTAGTATTAATGATCTTTTCTAAATATGTGGTGAAAGTGGATACTGGATGTCAGCAACAGTGAGAGTGCTCTGTAATAATGTTTGGAATGGGATGAAGGGAACTGATTAGATCTCACTAGCAATTACACCCCTTTCAAGGGACCTGGACTTCGTTCTTTTCCAACTGTATGTTTAGGTAGGAATTAATTCAGCAACCATGTATTAAACACTAGACTCAAGGAAGTAAAGATAAATAACACACAATCCCTGTCCTAAAAGGGTTTCACTTTAAGGAATAAAAATATTGACCAAATAATATTAGTCAATATTGACCCTTAATGAGGCAATGGGGCTATACCTATCAAAATTCCAAATTCATATTTCCTTGACTTTGGGACTTCATGTATCATTGTTTGGAAAAATAAAAGGTAGAAATAAATTTGATGTCCATCTGTAGGAAATGGCTCTATAAGTTATGGAAGGTTTACAGCTATGAAAGGAAAGAAACAAGAGGACACACTTTTATGAGGACTGTTAGGAAAATATAGCAAAGAAATAACAAGGAATGATGTTCTTAATTAAAAGTTAAATATATATAGGAATGTATTTTCTGTATGAGTGTTTAGATACAAAAAAAGCTCTGAAAGTGTACTAAGGAAATTAAAAATCTGTGATTCCATTGGATTAGAGATGAGTATATTATGTAGTAGTAGATGAGGGAGA